CGATAGCAGGTAGTCTGCTGGGTCTAGATGGAAGTGTTCTTCTCGCAATGCACGGAATACCCATGGGGCGTAATCTTTGAATTTAAAATCGTATTTGGCCGAAGGGGTCAGTTCGTTGCCGATTCTGGATGCCTTGTAAGTCTCGATCACGGAAGATGGGGTTACACGCACATATCGAAAGAGAATTTATGACGAGACGTAAAATCGTCGTCCGTTAGCGGTCGTTTAATTTTAGCTTGGCATCGGGAGACCTACACCAAATTAGGTTGCTCGTCTATTGGACATGTTAGGAGTACTCACACCGATGCGAATCCCGGTCAACATATTATACATCAACACATAGTTGACGTGGTCCTCTCCAATGAGATTTCCCACCAATACCACATCATCCCGGGCCGCTCCATCTGCTACCCCGGTGCCCCGTGTATCCTGGCGTGTAAGTGCGGCCTCGGCTTCTTTCGCTCTCTTCGACATGCGTTCCCGCCGAATCTGCTCCGCGTGAATCTGGATATCCGAAGCAAGCTCCCCGGTAGGTGCGTCACCATCTTCAAGGAATGCGTTGGTGGGATGGCGCGGACTTGATCCTGTGGTGTTCCGGCGGGCGGGGCGGTGCACGGTTAGTGGAGGGGGTTGTAGGTACCCGTCGGCAGATAAGTGAGCGTTAGATTTGGAATGCATCGTGGTAAGGTCTGTAGCGGTCGCGGTGCGTAGCGAGGTTTTGGTGTCCGTCGACGAACGGTACTGTGAATCCTGAGTTGTGGTTGCTGCGCGCCGGGATGAAGAAGCTGTTGAGGTTTGTCGCTCTCTGATAGACTCCGGCTCGTCGAATAGAATTGGCTTTGGTCCAGGTTCGGAGTGGGATGAAAGCAGAGGCGGTGGTGGAAGAAGCTGTTGCTCAGGGATAGGGTCGTTGTCGTAACCGGCGTCGTCCTCTAACGTGTCACGGTCCACACTCGCCGGCGGCGAGGGAGGCAACGGGCCAAACCGTGAGGCTGCTTCGTGATTGGACATTGGTCCCGCGAGCGTTTTGCCCACTTTTTGCAGCAGGGAATCTTTCATCGGACCACTCTCGAGCTGCACCTTGTCTCGGGTCACCTTGATAATGTGAACCTCCTGGGCGCCGTTCGACAAAGTATGGATAGGATTTACATTCTCGGAATCCCTGGGTGCACCTAGGGTATGGTTTGAAGATTCGCGAGGTGATGTGGGGGACTGCGACAGCGCAGAGAGGGGCGCAGTCTTGAACGAGGAAGCTGATGATGATTGGACAGTGTTATTTGAAAACAGGCTCTGCCTGTGCTGATCATTGATAGCTGAGGGTGCTTGCAATGTTGGGGACGATGATCTCGCCATCGTCGCGGTTGTGCTGGGCGCCGTTCTCGCTGTTGTCTTTAAGTGTGAAAACCATCGGCTGTGTTCAAGGCCCGTTGCTTATCAAATCACATAACATAATCACCCGAAAGGCTTTCCCACAGTCTGACATGACATAGGTTGCAAGTCCAACTCTGATAAGTATATATATACATATGACACATGTACATTCCGTTGTAAAGAAAGGAAATCCAAGGGGCATGGAACAGCCCAGTACCCATCCAGACTTACTCGGAGCTTGCACTCCGGATAGACTCTCCAGTTTGCCTTCTCAGAATCGCCGACCATCCATCTTTCACGCTTTCTTTCCCACTTCCAATTTCACGCGCCCGGGATTTGTACATTTCAGGAGGATCGAATCGGTGTGCGGTCACCATCGCCACCACCTTGTCTAGCACCTGGTCGCGGTGCCCGCGTTGGAAGATCTTGGTCCCAGTCACAAACGTACGTATATCTCTGTGCACGGAATCGCGGGTCCCCGACTCCTCGTACGCGGCTAGCGCGAGGAGGATAAGCCTGGGGGTTACCGGGAACCCCTCTTCTTTGCTTTGCATCAACCAGAATAGGGACTGCATCACAACAGTGAGATCCACGATGTACCCAATCAACCCCGCAAGTATCGATGGGCTATACCGTCATGTCGTTAGTGACGAAGCCATGAGGCGGACTCGAAACAAGTACGCACGTGGATTGGTACATGAGGTTGACCCACTGTGCAAAAGCCAGCCCAGCAGCGACAGGGATAGCCACAAGACCCGCAGGGGGAACTATACCAGTAATAATAGCCGCAATTGATGCGATCGTGCTTATAGACCTGATTTCCTTTGCGTCAGTTCTGTGTCCAGGATCCTTGCACAGGTTCGACTTACATTCCGGTTTGGACTTTTGGTATAGTGCCAAGATCATCCACCAGGTCACTAACAAGGTGTGTCATCAGTGCCCGGAACTCGTCGCTCTCGAGGTACTGCAGAGAAACAGGCGGCGGTTACTGCCCGGAACCAGGGCGATGCTCGGAAGGGAATGCGCGCACCCGCTGGTGGTCGTTGAAATTCCATATGCGCACAATGTCTTGGTGGATTGCATCAAGACATTTCTTCAACGTGCGCTTGCCAAACGTGACGCTTGATGTCAAACTCCTCCAGTATTCTGTGAAAAAGAAATGTGATCAATTTTGTTCGCGGCCGGATAAATGAAACGGAGTCATACTACGCTTGCCGACCCTATAAGAACCGTTATAAAAGTAGAGTGGGGTATTTAATTTTGAACACTCACTCGATTGAGGCCCTTATTTTGATCTCGGCACTTGACCTCTGTGCAAACGCCCAGATCAACCATACTGCTTCATCCACGTGTTTCTGTGTGAGTTCAACCAATTCCATGAGAGTGTTTTTGTACTGTTTCTGGTCTGCGCCGAGTAAGGAACCAATTACACCCGCCTCCAGTGGCGCAAAAATGGGGTACAAACCTGATATAGAAACTTTTGTAAAGGGTACGGGTGTAGCCCTTCCTCTGGTTGCATCCCTTAATCGGCTGATGCAGAGCTCCTCAAGCGCCTCATTGGCTTGCGCTATCGTGAGCGCCGTGAACTGGTCCTCATCCATATCGTATGTAGGCTCGGTTTCCATCTCAAATTTGGATACCAATAGGTCAAATTTGGTGAAGACCACGATGAGGGGAACTGTGGGTGTTGTGAAATCCGTCATCGATGATGGGACCGGGGGAGTAGAACCTACCATCACCAAGGTCGAGAGTAAGGAAGTTCTGATCAGCCGTCTCGAAAAGCGCTCCATTCTCAGTTGGAATTTCCATGCAGAACCTGTATATCCGCGATGTCCAGTCATTGTAAAAAAATTTGAGGGCGTAAATACCAAATAGCGTGGAGCCTATCTTTGATGTTCGGCATCCGCGCTCGGCGTTCGATAAAATTCTTGACAGTTATGAAGTTCTCTATTTCTCCAGCGGCGAACCCCTGAGAATCATGCAGGATGAAACGAGGGTTCATATCGGAGGTGATTTCTTGCTCGATATTTGAAACACCCGCACGGTCTCGGGAGACATTCTGTTGGCCAGAATCCCATCGGTGTTGCGCAGCAGAAGATCGAAACAGGTAACTTACCGCGAGATTGACGTTGAATGCAGCATTGATAAGGGACGATTTACCTGCCCCTGACTGTTGGGGATCTGTTAGTTATATATTTGGTTTGCTCAACTGCCCGACCAACTTTTCCGAGCACCAAGATTCGGAACCTGCGCACAATGAGCCCTGGAAGAATCTACTTCAAAAGTATACCTACTGGGGGCAACTCCCAACGATGTCATCTACTGTTGACATTAGCTCATCTCCGAGCGCCAAAACGGAAGATGTCGCAGCCCCAGCGGATGGGGTGGGAGGGAGACTGGATAGACCCACGCTGGGGGATGCCTCTGGAGAGTAAGTCATTGTAGTGGGAGACAGCGTCGGGGAATCGGGGAATGGAGTCTGAGATACAGGTGGGGCATAGGAGATTGGTGTTAGCGGAGGAGACGAGGTTTTACGGTCGGGCATATCTGAATAGTGATCAAACTCTAGTGGTATGTCGCTAGCCTTCATGAGTGCAGGTGGCAGACAAGGAGGACAGAATTGTCTCACGCACGTCCTCTAGAGATGTACATGTTGACGGACATCTATCTGCGGGAGGCATCAGTTGACTGGTGGCTACTGTTGTTGACGGAAGCTTCAAGCATCTTGTTTGATCTGGGAGTATCCGTCGACAACCGTGGGGCGATCAAAGAAGAATATAGCTATAGGCATGGAACAAAAATCGCGATCTGGTTCATAAGCTACGACTGGCATATCACCCCGGGTTCAAACTAGTAGGCCTGAGGGGTCAGGACCGTCGTAGCAGGCCGTTCCGTTGAGTACAGGTGACACTGGAGGGTTTCCGCGATGTGGGGATACTTCCGAACAGCCTGATCGGAAGATATAAACTTTGTTGAAGGCTTAGCAGAGCATCCCTCCCCGGATCAGCGGCACGCGACCCCGCCATCAACTCGTGCCCGACATTTGCTGAAGACTGAGAACTAATGCAATTGGTTGTTGTCTTATCGCCAACTAAGGCAGGATGACCATGGGAATATTAAAGGTTTTGGGTAACCGCGTTCAGAAACAGTTGGTTGGACAGTGCCATTGTTCCAACCAGACGTGATCATGATGGTGATGTCTAAGCTGATACCAACATAAATGATACATTGATGGTTGAATGTCCAGAATAGATTTACATAAAGTGCTGGAGTGCCTCCCCCTCAGTAGTGCCTAGGCACAGAGTCAGGTTTCCCCATACGCGACAACTCCTGCCCTTGTCGTCTACCCACATCCTGTGTGCCTCGATGGGTCGCAATATACTGATTGATAGACCTCCTGGTGGATGGATGGATGGAGTCAGACCGACTGATGGGAGTCCATCAAGGAGTCAAACCCCGTCAAGTTAAAGTTTAAAGTCGGTGCGTGATTGCTGTAGCGTTACATGACAGACACGAAGTATGTTTCTCGTACGTCATCAGGTACTGTCCTTGAAGGTCAATATTGGCATGGGACCGGCCCCATCACAACACCTGCACCAGCTTGAAGAACATATTGTTATTGGAATATGTCTTTGTTAGTATATCGGTTAGTACACGCGCTTGTCAAGATACATCCATTCGCGCGAAAGCTGGGTTCGACTCCCAGACAGAGAGACACCAATTTTTTTACCCAAATGAAACCCAAATCGTGTGCCGCGGCCTAACGTCTTAAAATAAAGTATGTGTGTGCATAAGTGTTTTCATAGCTTGTCAAACCACACTTCTGCTCTCTCATGGATATTTTTACCACTCGGACCGGGGACCCCTGGCCCAGCACCCCATAGTCCCCCTGTGAAGCCAAGACCAGATTTCCCCCGCGGCCCAACGAAGAATTCCGCATTAACCCGCAGGTCGCCGAAATCCATGGCATAAGTCCAATATGGATCCGATGGGTCACCAGTAGGCTTCAGAGCAGAGCTCAAGCATCAATATGGAACACTTCAAACAGACGGGTACTCACTAAATTGTTGATGACTGTCGCATTGAAAACATCCCCATCGAAATGGGCAAACTTGATATGGGTCGCCCAGGCCCGCTCCCACCTCGCCATCAGTGTCGGGATGTTTGGGTCGACACTACCTGGCAGTGTTGGCAGCTCAGAAATGAGGTCCTCGCACGCTGGTGTCACAGGCGACAACTGTGAGAAGTTCTCAGCTGGCAAGAGACATAGCTCAAATGAGCCGTATCCTGGATTCTCGTATATCCCACGCAAAGCAGTGAAATCACGAGATGGGTCAGAGGGTGTGGACGGGCGAGACGTAGGTTGCGATCGCCTCGCCGTCATTGCTTTATATCTATTTCGAGAAAGTTGAGTCGCACTCGATTAGGTCCTTTCCAAATATCACCTGGAACTCCAGTCAATAGGGTCAAGTCCCAGCACCACGTCGGCGATACGCGATTTAATAATCTGGGATATTTGGCCCCCATATGAATCATCGTTGGTGAAAACAGCCACACCCAGCATATCCCAGGGGAATCGACTGATGACTGACATAAAACCTAAGATCCAGGTGAAAAAGAGCACAATCAAAATTTCCGGGTGTGGCGACCAACCAGGAATTCCCCCACGTGCTCCACGAGTTCTATGGTGGATTCGTAATTGGGATAGGGCCGGGCGCGGAATATAACACGTACCGTGACCGCGGTAACTGGACCTTGACTGCCCTCCACCATAAACACTTGGAGAGAGCTCAGGGAATGGCCTACGAGACATTGAACAAACAATAATGAGCCATCAGATAGACAAATACGCTGAGCCCTGGCCAACGGAGATTCCGGTCGAAACTCTGTGTATAACTGCAGAAGGAATTACGGAGGCATTAGTATGGGGGCTCCTCCCTTCAAGGAGAAGAGCTTGTAGCCAGATTGCCTTGGCTGGGTGAAATACTCGTAAGGGTTGTCGGGTCTGCTACGTACCGCATCGATGGCATTCATAATGACCCCTCCCGCTCCTAAAGTGACTTTGAAGGGGGGCGATTATGAAAGATTATTGCTACAATACTGGATGTCCAGCTCACAATTTCCCAGCGTCCCATCCTCTTGGAACCAAAACGGCAGCGCTCTCGGAATACCTCCCCCGAAAATGTCTTCGGACATGTTGACACCTTGCCTGGCCATCCCTTCAGCCAAACTTCCTGTTCGTGCTGCCACCTCGTAGAATATGTTGTTGAAGACATGCCAAGCGGTTCAAAGATATTCTCCTTGACATATTGTATAAAATTGGTTCCCGGGATAAGGAGACTTGGAAGGTTGGAGAGGAATGAGTACATATTGTTGTTATATTGCCAAGTTTCGCGGAATCCAGCTGAGGGTTTTAAATGCTTAATTTTCCTGAGCTATACACACACGATAGGCAAATTTTGTTAATCGTGGTAAACCCTGCTCACAATTGTGTTGGTATCATCGCGCCGCCCGTACATAAGGTCATCCCGGGGTTGGCCTGTACGATGGCCCATAAGATCAAGGATCGTACTTTCTTGAGTCGCGATAGGGTCCATCAATTCCCATCCCGGGATTAGGGAGGCTATTTTTGAGCTCCATTCCACGCGCGGTTCCAGAGTCTCGTTCGAAACCAACAGGCCTGTAGCAATAGCAGTAAACAGCTTCATACGGGTCAATCGGAGAAAGCTAGACGCGGGAGCTAGTGTGGGGTTCTACCTTTGAATTTGAAGCAATTGAGAACAGGGTGTTTTCGTCCACCGGTGTGCCATCAGCTTTAGCTCGGCCATATCCTTTCGTTTCCACATTCCATGTACCTTGGTCGTTCATCCGAACAACTGCAACAGCTACCCCTCCGGGAGAGTTCCACTCATCCAAAACCCCATGAATGAACGACTCAATATTAGCGTCAAGGGCTGGTTTTTCTCCGACTTTGTTAAACGGGGCTTGACTTGGATGATTGGACCCGAGGCTAGGCAAACCCACAACAGAAAGCCATAATACCAGGGGGTTGCAGAACTGAGGTTTTTTCATGGGAATCAACGGCCAGACGCGATGCAATAAGCGAGGGTCATACGCCAGTATATATAGTGCAGAACTGGCCCCGCGCAGCGCCGCTCTAAACGCATCTCACCAGGCGGTAGAAATGACTGGCCGGTGGCCCATGATCGATGATCATTGATGATGACATTGGTAGCGGCATGCCGACTTGGACGCACGTGGGCGGCATCTAAAAATAGGATGAGACCAAAAAGCCAAATAGAAAAATGCTATTTGGAGGGTTAACTAGGGAGTCGAACCCAACTTCGCCGGGTCTGGTGCGAAACGACGGCTCAGAGGGGTTGGAGGAAGGCCGGACCTTAGCTAGTGCGCGAACAAAATCATGATAGCGCGGCCGTTCACCAAAGTTGAATTAACGGCGCCGGGAAGTACATATTGCCGTGGGGCCTGAGCGCTGAGCGTGTGAGGTCAATTGCGCGAATTCTTGATACATCGTGCACATGCATCAGCGATTAGGTGCAGGGGTACCAAAGAATCCCCGCGGCAGCTCAATTGGACGCTGGTGTCTGCGCCGCTTGCTCTGTTGCCACCCAACAACGACTAAAGATACGAATAAGTATTGCAAGCCAACAAAAATTGCTACAAGTACATAAACTCAAAGAGCAGTTGCAAAAGGCCTGACGAAAAGACCAAGTTATCTGAAAAAAGGTGTGAGGAGTCCAGAAAAGGAGTAAGAGGTCTGGAAAAAGGGATAAGGTGTTCGAAAAGAGGTCCAAGGTTGTAATTTTCCGTAGTAAATGTAAATACTTAATCCCTCTATCTCACTGCTTGACCGATCCGCCGAAGAGCCCTGTGTGGGGAATGAAGTCAGCCCAAAACCCTGTCCCAGAAATCAGTACTAACAGTATTTCGCGGTGTATTTGACGACGATCGGTGGGGACCCCGGGGTGCACTGTATCCCGGTTAGAATGGATGGACGTATTATCAGTGATCACTGCGGCCACATACTGTAGCAGGTGGTTGCCCGCCCCTGGTGTCGACGCGGTAGATTTCCTGGGCCAGTTCGCCAGTCAAGGCTGACAGGCTGACCCAGTCAATGTCCGAGGGGCCAGTGGGGGCGCTGAGGCCAGCAACCCTTGCCGCAATGACAAACGCATTGGGGTTGCCGGCATTGGCGCCCTGCGAGGTGAAATCCCATTTAGGGTTTACGCCGACGCCAGTGAGCGGGTTCGGCACATAGTAGTGAAATCGGCGGTATGCAGATAACTTGCGTCTGTATTCTTCATCACATGCCAGACATCTGCGATTTGGTGGAGGCTGTTGACAAAAAGATATCCCCATACTAAACCTGTGGTGAATATCATTGAAAGCATCGCGACATGGTCCGTCAAAGATGGGCCGGTTGACAAAAAGATATCCCCATACTGAGCCTGTGGTGAATATCCTCGAAAGTATTGTGCCATAGGCCGCCACAGGTAGTCCAGTTGACACGCTCTATTTCCCGTTTTGTTAGGGCTATACATACTCCGCCACATTTTTTCTACGTCTTCGGGCCCTGTAGCCGCTCTCTTTGTGCACATCGACCACGGTGTCCTCGCCGTGCCATTGCCTTCTCTGTCGAGCCCTTTCCGACGTATATCCTCAAATCGGGTTCGGCCTTACTATAAGACCGAGTTTATCCACTTCCTTAAATTGAAGGACGCCTCCCAGGCATCGACCTGGAAGAGGCACTGCACACCGCTGATACACCTTTGAGATATTGGAGGTATTAGGGCGATGGCCCGTCACGAGATGTAAGATAAACTGTCGGTAGATAAACTATCTACCGACAGTTTATCTACTTGTACCTCGTGACAGGTCGGTCTTCGGCCTACCTTTAACTTGACCGTACTCTTCATATGTCGAATTTTACTCCACTCGTTCTAAGTCCACGACCGAAGCCATGTTCATGCTTGGCAATTGTGCACGCGGGCTTGTTAATACCGGTCGTGCGTCGTTGATGACGTACGGTTTCCGGTTGTGGACCTAAAGCCCACATGGTAAGACCATAAGGGGACGCGCGCCTCGCTCAAACTCACTCAGAACAGGGCCGCCTGTTGGATCACAAGGCCTCAGGATCAGATTTCGTCGGCATGCGCGCCTGCATTGGCTAGGATGATTGATGAATAGAATCACTTACGTTTCCATTTCTCATTGATATGCATGTTATCGCGGCCAGGTTCGGACACCTCTGTATGCCACCCCACGATAGCGGTACCTGTTAAAACACGGAAAGCGTGTAAATGTCATGGGAGGGCACACCATCAATCGACAAATTCGAATCTGAGGTATATTGACGAACGGCATTAGATAATATATGCATCGTGGAACATATAATGCTGATTATGTGGCATCATGAGGGACCAAGTGGTATTGAGGAACCGCCGTTCACCTAACCACTGCCAAAACTCCTAGTTTTTTTCGTAGAATATCTTGCATATATGTTAAGTGTGGCCTTCTTCAGCTTCCCATTGAATAAATGAAGCCTTTTCTCAAGAAATACGGTGTGCAAGCCGCATTGAAGTCGGTTTCGGTAGAACAGTTTGTAATTGTTTGGCTACTGATTCCAGCCCTACAGCGAATGATAGCGCGCTCGCTCGGGGCTAGATTAGCGGCGGTACTGCGGTGGAGTATGT